TCTATGTGACTTATAAAGTGGTTGATTGCATCACGCGGCACCTTTAACTTAAACATTAACCGACATAATTTGTAATTCAAGAACCCGGCTATGGTTTTCATTTCGAGGCAATTGGCATCAGTGATACGTATCTCATCGAGTGTGGCATATGCCTGAGTAAAATGTCTGCAAAAAAGTTTTAAAAGAGTAAATGTATTTGTAGTTAAAGCAGATTTATTACGAGTTTTAAAGTCGTGGTTCTCACAGTTTCCTATTATAAAGGTGTTATTTTTATCGCGTTTTATCTTTAAAAGACTGCTGCGTTTTCGGTAAAGTCTGCGATATCGCCGCCGTTTTGTTTTAAGACACATATTAAATTAACGCAAACAGTATATTCACGTATTACCTATACCAAGAAACTGTGAGCACTCTAGATATGAATAATGTAAGGTGTCAAACTGGAAATCTCATCATTCATAACTGCTACCATAGTCGTGCAATGCCTACTTACTTCAGTGCAGTGCTGAAATCTTGTCTTATCTCCGCAACAAAACCTAACTTAAATTGATGTCGTATTTTGAGTGTTGTGTGCGCAGCAGTTAATTGATCACGATGTGCACGTATACGTTTGGACATGAGTGCGTAATAGGATTGAGCCATGTCTAGGAACGCAGATTCCAAGCGTAATGTATAGCCCATTAAATGCTCAGTATGCGGCAGGATGAATAACATTTTAATATTAATACTACAAGCTGTAGTTAAACTGGCAGCGCGTTCTGATGCCAGTAAGTCTTCACCTGGCGGTAAAGGTGATGATTTCTGCAACAGCACAAGGCACAATCGAGTGTTTCGTTCCTGAAATTGACAACCAATTCGAGAGCGATTAGTTGAACACTCCTTATAAATAACAAACCTGTAATGCGATCTTGAGACTTTGGATTGTTGAGGCGCACTGCACCTGTTTTTCCGACCATTGAGGGTCATTCCATTCCATGTCTTGAAACAAAACTACAACCGCAGGCAGTACATGCAAATGCTTAAGCATCCAATTTCTTTTCAGTACACCCTTGGGTTGGTACCATTCGTAGGAAGCACGTTTAGGCTTTGCGACTGGAAACTCGTAAGCAGGTGGTAAAATCTTGAATTGCACAGAAGCTCTGAAAATATGGAAAGATATTAATGATGCAATCGTTGTTTTTTTGGGACAATACGCCTTACCTATCTGCTTTTTTATTGGTGCTAAACGCATCCCATATAGCCTTGTGTACTAGATTGTGCGTTGTGTCCAAGCCGCAGAAACCTATAAGAGGCTGTGGTGCAACCAATAGCTCTGACGGAAGCACGCTGCTGTCGAAGGACATTCTTGATTTTGGGGCTTTAACTGCTTATAAGTTTATGTTTATATATGTTTGAAGTAACGACCACGGCATAGACAATTATTTGCCTGAATAAAATCTATACAATTATGAGAAAAACTGTGGAACCAACGTCCGAGTTAAAGCAACTAGCCGTTTGCTAGAACTGCATGGCCTCTGGTTAGCAATGAACGTTTTAACTTAGAGTTTACCCGTTTTGCAATTAATATTATTCGTAGGCAAGCAATAAATAATTTTATTGGAAATATTCGAGAAGAAAACAGCACTCCAGCAAAAGAACCACTATAGAAAAAATTTTATTGAAAATTATGACGGCAACAACTTTATTTGACGTTTCAATTGCCAAATCAAAAGGTGGTCAGCTGATTACACGCGTTGCCACATAGACAGGAGTAATGTAGCGTTGGAACGGGATTACAGAGTACGGGAGGCTTTGTGAATTCATGGTGCAATAACACCATGATCCAACTACACAAGATCTGACAAGATGAAGCAAAAGAAAAAATTAATTTTCTGGCTGACGATTGTAATTTCGGCGCCATGTTATTTTCTTTGAGAAGTAAACAAAGAATATGAAGACGAAGCGTAAAGAAAAATTTGCAAGCAATTTTGCCGCACATGTTTGTGCAAACCAAATTATTATTTTGTACGTGTTTTTGGCACCAATCACCGCGCACTCCATTTTAATTCCATTTGCACAAAAAACTTATTGAAAATCGCTTAAAAATCACTGAAATAATCCACCGACAAAATACACATAAAGCAAGAAGCAAAACAAAAATAGCAAACTTCAAAATTACGAACGTCACACAGTTTTTTCTCAATTGCTATTACAAATGGCGGAGAAACTTTCCACCATGGCCATTCGTTAAAGATGCGGTGGTCGAAGGGGAAGTGGGCGTGGCACCTCCAACCGACCTTTTTGGGGAGGGCATGAACCGCCATTGACAAAAATTCTACCCCCGACCACCTAGGCCCCCTATGGTTCCCAACGGATTCTTAGAAAAATGGCCAAAAATCGAAATTTTACTTGCGTCCACAGTATTTTTGCGTAGAATTCCTTTCTGCGTAGGCGGCCTTCGGCCGCGCTTAGGGATCATAACCCTTAAGCTGAAATTAGTCAAGAACGCAGAACGTATACTTAAACGCAGTCTGTATACGCAGAATTTTGTCGATTACTGGAGCCCTCAGTGTTGCTTATTACAGTGTTGCCACTCATCAATGCGTTTTCATAAACTTACCTTTTCAACTACAACTTTTCGTGCTATAGATCGTAGCTAAATATAAACTACTTAGTTTTCAACAAACAACTTTATTCAATAGTAAATTTCAAATATTTTAAACGTATTTTGAATAGGAAATTATAGATTTCTAACCATTTGCGAAACTGACGAAGTGGCAACCATCTATAGAAGGACGAAATCAGGTGACACGGAAAAATCTAAATTCCGCAGATTTCTGCGCTACGGGCTACAACTACAGAAAAATTCTGCGGTGTTGAGTTTTCATTTACATGGCGCTCTGGAAAGACAGATCGTGTCAGCTGACTCGGGTTTACGTACCGGTAGGTTTACGTTCTTGACTAATTTCAGCTTTACTGCCATACCTAAACAAAAGCGTCAGCGTTGTCGGGCTGTCAAAAAATTCTCATGCCCATACAATTTGTATGAAGCATACCGAAACAACGCGGCGTCAACGCTGAGCGGCTGGATACTCCGATTTTGACAGGACGTTAGGTATTAAAGTTGGCTGCAGAAAACGGCGAAACTGTCATTTCTGTGTTACACACAAACAAACCTATGCTTATTGTTTGTGTTATTTCTGCATTTGACGTAGCGTTGACGCTTTTGTTTATGTATGGCACTTCGGCGCTAACGCTAGGCGTCAGAAACCGTTGCGCCCAACGCTTTTGTTTAGGTATGGAAGTTACTACGAAGAATTCTCCTTTCTACCGCCACAGTGATGTAACCTTGGGAAAGGATGAGGTAACTAGAATTCCCTTCCTGTGTTGTAAACCTGGGGCTGCCGCCCCAGTGATATCTATTTTGGTTACTGGGTGTTTTATAAAAATGTCTTGTATATAAAAATGTGTATATAAAAATGTATTGTGTAAATGAATATTAAACATTTTTTAAGCGAATAAACGCAAATGAAAATTGTGAAAATTGTGATTTTTGGTTCATGCAGTAACACCAAGAATGATAGAATACAAGTAGTCTGTTCCGATAGCAGTCCGGTTTACAGGATTTGGTCAGAAATTACAGGGAATTAAGTGGGAATACTTTTGAGAGAGCAACTGACCAACTGTTCATAGTCAGAAGTTACAGGATTTAGTGCGGAGTTTTTTTTTCCTGTAAGTTCATGAAAAGTGTTGTTGTTATTGTTGTTGTTGTGGCGGCTACAACAACCCCGCCCAGGACGGTTGGTATCTCAGTCGTTGTCGTCAAGTTCCACTAACGGCAGCCCTAGGAAGCGTGCAGCTTCTGTTGGGTTAGTCCACAGGGACAAAGCCGTTAGGGTTGTCGGGTTTTCCGGGCATGCGAAGAGATGCTTCGAGTCATGTGGGGTCTCTCCGCATGCCGGACACTCATTTGGCACATCCTGGACTTCGTCCGCCAGTTCATATAGTTGCCTGCTGACGTGACTATGCGAGGGCTCCTCTGCAAGCAGCTGTCTGTTTGGGTGGCCACTTCTGTTGCTCCCGATCAGGAACTGCTTGCAGAGCATTATGTTGTGCTCCTTTACGGGGAGCATTTGCGCCTCGCCGTGGAGATGATGTTCGGGCGATATCAGGAGGCATCCTGTCGCTTTCCAGTCTGTAGCTTCGTCCACTGCGTCCTACTAATCCCCGGCGACCACAATGACGCTGCGTAGCATAAAACCGGCCGGACTATTGCCTTGTATGTTGCCAGCAACGTTTCTTTGTCTTTGCCCCAAGTACTGCCGGCCAGCGACTTGAGGACCTTGTTGCGGCTCTGTACTTTATTGACAATAGTGGTTGCGTGCGCAGAGACGGAGAGCAGGCTGTCGAATGTTACTCTGAGTCTTTTGGGGTTATTCACCGTCGGAATTGGTGTGCCATCGACGTGAATTCCCAGCGGTTGCCTGACCTCCTTCGTCCAGGTTGTGAACAGGGTCGCAGAGGATTTCGTAGTGAAGAAGCGAGAAAGTTCGGAGAGATACCCGTTTACTTTCGAACACAGGTCATTAATTCTATTCCCAGTCGCCATGATCGAGCAATCGTCGGCGTAAGAGACAAACGAGACTCCCTCTGGTGGTTGAGGGAGCTTTGAAATGTAAAAGTTAAACAGTAGCGGGGAAAGGACACCACCCTGTGGAACCCCCTGTTTTATTTTTCTGAGTTTACTCGTTTTGTGTCTAAACATTACCGACGACTGTCGACCACTCAGATAACACTGGACCACAAATTTCAACTTTTTCTCTTTACCAGAAACGCCGTTATGAAATTCTTATGTAAAATCACCCCCTGATTCCGAAAATCAAGGTTATTTTTAATTCTATGGTACCGTTTTTGAGATATTTGCAATTTACCGTTTTTGCAAAAAAAAAAAAATTGGGGCCACTTTATCATATATATCTCAAGAACGAATTAAGCAATTCCAAAACGGTTTGAAGCTTTTAAAAGGTAATAAAATTTTCTATAAACTGTGCATACAACACTTTTTGCTAGGCCCTGTAGATTCAAAGATAACGAACAATCATTACCGATTTTTTCAATTTTTTTTGTAAAAATATAAAAAAAATTGTACTTTGCGGGGAAGGATCTCGAAAACCTTTTATTTTTTTGCAGATTTTTTTTTTCTCCCTAAGCTCTGTTGTATTACAAAAAAAATAAGCTATCATCGAAGAAAATCGATGCAAAACTACGTAAGTTATAAGCGATCAAATAAAAATACCCAGGTTGCGCAACTTCAATGTATGTACCTATACATACATACATATATTAAAGGTATTCCGGAAAAACGAATAACACCATAACAATGATAACACTTTTTCTTTAAATAAATCAAATAGTACTTTTAATACTCGAATTGTATTATAGTAGGTAGAGTGGTTGCATCGAAAGGAAGAGTGGTTGGGTTCGAAACCTGCTGTAGGCATGTAGTTATAAACATGTATTTCCGTCAGTTATGGGTAAGTATGCAGGTAGATTTTCAAAATTATAAGACACAGAAAATTTCTAAAGCCTACATCTAAAACAGGTAGTATTTTCTTTTCCCGGCTTGTTATAAAAAGGAACCTTTCTGTCTAGGTAAGATTTGATTTTTTCAATTTTATTCTTGTTCCGAGTATAAATATGAGTTAATGCGCTTCATAACATCTTCAAGGCTCGCCGGAGATAGTTCAGTTCATAAGTCTAGTTTCAAAACCGTGATTTATTAAAAAAAATAAAACGAGTAAAAGGACGCGAGAATTTGAGTGTAATAAGGATCCAGATATGTTCTGTTTCATGTGTGGCCAATATACTATCATAAGGCGACGACGAGTGTTCTCAGATCATATCAAAACTTTATACTCCAAGTATTTTGGAATTGAGCCTAAAAATGCTGAAAAACCATGGACACCGAACACTATGTGTACATCGTGTCGAGTAGAATTGATTCAGTGGGAATCAGGACAACAAACAAAATTTGATACACCAATGATATGGAGAGAACCTACTTGCCATTCAATAGAGTGTTATATTTGTCAAACAAAAGTACTTGGCGTTGGAAGATCAAGAGGAGTAACCTATGCTAGCGTACCTACATTCAACGGCAGTTGCGGATCCAGTTCCATTGTCAACAATAACATCTGAGTGCGGGGGATCAAGTTGTACTGAATTTCGCATGGAAAACGAAAGAAACGTTCTGTCACAAGCACAACTTAATGATTGGATAAGAGATTTCCACTATCCAAGGAAAAGGCCGAGATCCACACTTCTCGTATGCAACAATTTAAATTTGTGTCATCCGATGTTAAGGTGACATATAGTAGAACTCGTCACGAACCATTTTCCAAACACTATACCAAGAAACACTATACCAGTATATGCTACTGCAACGACATCCCTGGTTTATTCAAAGAGTTTGGTCAAACATATGATTCAAAAGAGTGGCGATTGTTCATAGACGGCAATAAACTGAGTTTGAAGGCTGTATTATTGCATATTGGTAACAAAAAGCCTTCTATCCCGATTGCACATGCAGTAAATACAAAGGAAACCTACGAGGAAATGCAAAAAATACTCAAATTTATCAAATATGAAGAGCATGATTGACAAAATATGTTCTGATCTCAAAGTCGTTGCAATAAGATAAAGGAAGGTATTTTTGTTGGACCACAAATAAGAAAGTTGATCAACAATAATCAATTCAAAGGACTACTCTCATCAGTTGAGGCAGCAGCGTGGGAATCCTTTGAAAAGGTCGTTGCTTCTTTTCTCGGTAGACACAAAAGCCCTAACTACGAGCAGATAGTGAACGACCTAATCAATAATTATGCGAAAATGGGCGTAAATATGTCTTTAAAAATTCACTTTCTCCACTCACATTTGAGCTTTTTTCCGGCAAATCTTGGCGACGAAAGTGATGAACATGGCGAAAGGTTTCATCAGCAAATGAAATTAATTGAGAATCGATATCAAGGATTCTGGGACGTCGCAATGATGGGTGATTACTGCTGGTTTCTCATAAGAGAAACCGATCCTAAACTGAATAAGCGTCAAAGTAGAACACATAATTATTTCGACAACATAGTAAAATCAAATTAAGATAAAGATTGTTAGAATATAGTATAAACATAAATAAATAAAAAAAAAAGTTAAAATATGGGTAATTTCATTCATAAATTGAACTTTTAACTCAATAAAAACAGAGCATAGCTAGATATTTCACTCTTCTTTATACCATACATACGTTTTGAGGTATACGTTGAAATTGCGCAACCTGGGTATTTTTATTTGATCGCTTATAACTTACGTAGT